GAGATGGCGATGGTGATGAAGATGGTGCGACTATGCTACGTAAGCTCCTTCTGACTGCAGTACTCCTGGCAGTCTTATTGTCAATGGTTGTCCGCGCGCCCTCCGTACTCTTCGAGTTTGCATTTTTGTGTCTGGATTTTCTTGTGCTAGCAGGCTTGCCATTTGAAGAACAACAGTTTCAGCAGCATCCGTTTCATCAGTATCCAATCTTATCCTCACTAGACGGGTTTCAGGTTTCAGCACTACTAAAACTCCCACGCATTCCGGGTGCTGGCCGTCTCACTTGCACTAGCAGCACCCGCGGCTTCATGGTAATCGTACTATGGTCAATGTACTGGGCCGCTTTCGTAATAAATGTAGCGGCTGCACCGGCATCTCCATCTCTGCTGCTACTATAACAACTGGTGCCCCTGTCACAACGACGCCGACTACGGCTACGACCTCGGCGGCGACCTCCACTGCTCCGCCTACTACTCCTACTGGTCCTGCTAGTCGTAATAGTCCTACAACTACTAGTCCTGCCAGTCCCACGAGGACCTACTCTAATTCTGTGCTCTTATTCCTACTCCTACTCTACTACTACAGCAACTACGACGAGGACTGTCGCCTCTATTGCAGCAGCGGCTTTCCTTCTTTCCTTGGAGACTCCCGGGGGCCAGACTTTGGGAATGCACAGAGAAAGTATTAAGTCCGAAGGTTTTGTTGAAATGCTCTGATGCCTCAGCGCTGCAAGAAGCTACACAAACCCCAACGAGTCCCAGCTCCGGCGTGGCATCTCGGATCCTAAAGAGGAGCTGAGCATCCTGCCAAGAGAAGTGCGACAAGGATTGAATCTCTTCGGACCAGGCCAGTGATGGTAGCCCATGCTAAAGTGCAACTCCGCTCTTCTTCGCCTTTACTCCAAGCCTCCCAAGCCCCTACCCACCTCTACTCTAGCACGCGAAGCTTCAAGCACAAGATGAGGCAAAGTGCGGCGAATCGGATCCTGCTGGGTGGTGCCGCCCTTCCTTGCGGCCACGATCCACCCAGGCGTCTTCTTTTTCAACCGCACGTTGACCATGGCAGCGGCTCCCACTTTGGTACTAGCCACTGCTAAGGCACAACGACACGAAGGAAACCAAGAAGAACGACCAGGGACAAAGGCGTAGCTTGCGTGAGAGTCTTGTGTGCCTTGCAGAAACCAACCATGGTCCTATCTGACGCGGTACGTAGTGCGGTCGTGAAAAACATACCCTAGGATAGCAGGCTGCTGCCCATCCGGCTGTGTTTTCTGCTTCCCTTGCTGTTGTGTCATGCTCAAACCCAAACCCCTAGAGCATGCGTTCAAACGGTGCTAGCGCGGGCTGCAACCGTGGACGGGCAGATGATCGTTCAGAGTTAGAGTTTAGGTGGGCTGGGTGTTCAGGTACTCGGCATGGCTGTGTATGGCAGGGGGTTGAGCAGTGTAGCATTGCAGCTGTCTCTAGTCGATCACATCGGCTCGCGCTACAAAGCAGATTCAATGCAGTTTACAACTTTTTAGCAGAGCGTGCACCGTCGACATTGCTTGCGGCTTTCCCTAGTTTGTCAAGTTCGTGGCAAAGCCGAAAGCAATAGTTCACCCCCCACGATGTCTAGGGCCAGAACTGATGCAGGAGCCTTAATGATTAGAATAGGATGTTCCGGGTTCCTTATGGTAAATATACAAAAATCAACCCTATTCTACTTTTAAGGCCCCTACATTACCCACAGAGCGAGTCCCGGCCTGCTGTGATTTTCGGGGCTGCAGCGAACGACTCAAAAAACGCTGAGCCGTCTCAGCAAGCGAAGCAACTTAGGGTAGAGCAGAGTATAGTCTAGAGTCTAGTGTAGTAAAGCAAGCAGTCTAGTCTAGTCTAGTCTGATATGTATAGTATAGCAGAGTATCGTACCGTAAAGTGAAGGATAGTATAGAATATCATCTAACCCAAACTAAAGCCCAACCCCTTCAGGACTCCAAGCTCCAAGAACCCAGCCAAGACGAAGAGGGCGGGAACCCCCACCCAGGCGCGAAGGAACCTGGTCAAGGGCTTAAGGTTCATAAGAGTTCAGGGTTTAGGGCTTAGGGTTTATGGGGTTTAACGTTTAGGGGTTTCGGTTCAGGGTTTACTCAGTTAAAGGCTTCGGGGTTTGGGGATAGGGCAGTTGGGTCAGGACATCTACTAGACCCAACACCCTCAGGCAGTCCCGGTGCTTCTTTCTCTAATGATTGGGTTGAAAATGTATAATATAATATTCAAATTGTAACCATTTATCTTCTTACACATATGCACATCTACACGCATGTATACATAGAGAGAGAGAGAGAGAGCGAGAACAAAGAGAGCGGGAGAGAGAAGTATTGCACGCAGGGACGCAATGGAGAGTGTTGTGGCGGGATGTTGGGACACAGGATTGCGTCAAGCATCGAAATGAAGCTGCCAAGGGATGGCCCGGCTCTTGCTAATGTCGGACTGCCACCATTGCATGAACGGCATAACGTTTCCTATCTCTAACATCATCTCAGCATCACCATCATCATGATGATCATCGTCTGAGCGAGCTGTACTGCATGTCTTACCCGCCTTGCACTGCGTGCTGCTTCGCCTCAACATTAGAGCAGCTTGCTCTTGTCCCTTTTGCAGTTGCTGATTTTTTGGCTGGAAACCTAGTGCCGCTGTCACAAGTCGCAGCACTCGAATGATACTCAAAGCACTCGGGCGTAAAGACCAGACAGCTTCTGCAGGCCCCGCCGGCAACAGTCTTTCGGCCTCCGTTGTCGGAAATCTGGTCGCTGCGGGAAGCCTCTCGCAAGTCCAGATCGAGTGTCGCGGTTCCATGGTTTTTGAGTCATGTGATGTCTTTACCCCTACGGCTCCAAGTATTCTAACAGGGTCTACTTTGGGGTCTAAAGTCTAGAAATAGTACCTACTTTGGGGTCTAAAGTCTATAAACAGTACCCACTTTGGGGTTTAAAGTCTATAAATAGTACCTACCTTGGGGTCTCCAGTCTATAAATAGTGGGGTCTAAAGTCTATGAATAGTTCATACGTTGGGGTCTAAAGTCCCTACTTTGCGGTCTAAAGTCTAATCATAGTACCTACTTCGGGGTCTCAAGTCTATGAATAGTGGGGTTTACAGTATAAAAATCGTACCTACTTTGGGGTCTAAATCCTATACACAGTACCTACTTTGGGGTCTAAAGTCTATAAATAATACCTACTTTCGGGTTCTCAAGTCTATAAATAGTGGGGTCTAAAGCCTAAAAATAGTTCACACTTTGGGGTCTAAAGTTTATAGAAATAGGACCTACTTTGGGCTAATTGGAACACAAAATTGAGGTTCTCCGAGTCGGATTCAGGTCCCATGGCCAGGGCCAAAAAAAAGGGCTGCAGCTTAGGGGTTAGGGCTTAAAGTTTTGGATTTAGGGTGTAGGGTGTAGGATGTAGGGCAGGGTTTAGGGTTTGGGATGTAGGGCTTAAGGTATAGGGGCCTAAATACTTTTGGAAGTTCTTAATTCTCAAAACCCTGTTCTAAGTACATAGGGCCTACAATACCCCGAAAACTTTAAAGGTTACCTAGTCTACTACAAAGACACTCTCATACTCTGTCCTCGATCCTTCAAGGACCGTACTACCCTCAACACTAAACCCAGTTGTCCGACACCCCAGAGTAAAGGTCAACCTTTAGGGTAAATATAAGGTTGATAGCGCCCCAACAAAGTTAAAGGTTAC